GTTGGGGACTGGCTTCAGAAGAAGCTGCTGGGACTCCCAGAAGCTTCTACTGAAGCCTTCCGAGTAAATCGCCAGAACGCCGACACCTCCTCATCACTCCACCGCTCCCATGTTTTTTTTTTGTTGCCATAAGTTAGTCTCTCTCCGTTGGTGCGCTGGGCTAATGCTAATGCTAATAATGCTAATACCAGCAAATACAATGGCGGCTTCACAAAACTCTTCAGAGTTTTACGGGGCGTGGTTTGCAATTCGCCCAGCCAATCAGAAATTGGAACTTACCACCTCTCTAGCAGGGACTGAAAAGGGGGGAAAAGTTCTCATGAACTAAATTCTCTTTTTGGTGTGAACGCAAAATCCCAGGAACTATCGGAACTAAAAGGGAAAAGTACGGGGAAAAGTACTCCGGTGTGAAAGCGCCTATGAACTAAGTTCTATTTCCGGATGTTTTTGGTGTGAACGCAACATTTCAAGAACTATCGGAACTATACTGGGAAAAGTACTCCGGTGTGAAAGCGCCTTATGTCACCAATTGATTGTCTTTTCATGCATGTTTCATGGGTTTGTTTGAAAAATGCAAGTGACCAAAACTCATCTAAATAATTAAAAATGTATACAATTTGATTCATACATAAATGAATTGAAAGCAGCATTTAAGACTATGGTATAATGATAAAATAGGTCGTGATATTTGATGAAAAACAGGCAAAATAAAAAAAAATACTTTTATAATGTGAATATAAAACTCATATAACAAACAGCTCATTTTAAGTACATGTTATTATCAATGGGAGCAGCCTGGTGACAATTCATGGAAAATTAGCACAGCAATCTAGCAGTAGCTAGTATCTGCCTTGAAAATATAAATTAGAAACTTAATAAAGCTTTCTTCTAGTTATGTAAATGCATAATTAAACCTGTGATGCAGTCTTATATTACTATGGGGAATAGAAGGGAAAGACTGACCAAAATAACGTAAACCTAAGTTCAGGCCAACTGAGACAAAAATGCACATGGATTTAGGATATATCAGACGGTGTGCAGCAAATGTTCAATTCAGTTGGTATAATGTGGGAGAATAAGCAACACTTTATTAACTATCATTAAAGCAGCTCATGCAATGCAGCTGCTCGCCTGGTCTTCAACCTTCCTAAATTCTCCCACACCACGCCGCTCCTCCGCTGCCTTCACTGGCTTCCGATAACTGCTAGAATCCACTTCAAGACAATGGTACTTGCGTACCATGCTGCGAATGGATCTGGCCCTTCCTACATCCAGGACATGGTTAAACCGTACACCCCAGCACGTGCACTCCGCTCTGCACCAACCAAACGGCTCGCTGCACCCTCGCTGCGAAGGGGACCCAAGTTCCCATCAGCAAAAACACGTGGGTTTGCTATCCTGGCTCCAAAATGGTGGAATGAGCTCCCCATTGACATCAGGACAGCAGATAGCTTACACACCTTCCGGCGCAGACTGAAAACTCATCTCTTTCGACTCCACTTCGAGCGATATAACTATTAACAAAGCACTTATATACTAATAAAGGGCTGGCTTACCTAAAGCCAGTTGAGTATCACTTGAAATGTTTTTGCTCTATGAAGCCTGATATACTTATATGATTCTGTTTTCTTCAAGTTTGTATTTTGTTAGTCGAACGCACTTATTGTAAGTCGCTTTGGATAAAAGCGTCAGCTAAATGAAATGTAATGTAAAGCAAAAGAGACTTAATAAATTAGCAGTGAAAAAGGCTGGCCTCATTTATGTGAATAGTTTACAGCCCCAGAATGTAGCTAAACCGTGCATCCTTTCAAGATGTAAAGAGATAAAGAGAAAGAAAGAAGGAAAGGAAGAAAAGAAAAGAGGAAGTAAAGTACAAAAAGAGGAACAATGGAAGTGGTGAAGGACAGAAGGAAAGATGGAAGAAAGGAAAGATAGGAGAGTACAATAAGTGAGCGAGCAATAAGAAAAGGGAAATGAAGAACATAATACAGTTAAAAAAGGGAAAGGGGGAAAATAATGAAGATAAAAAAGAAACAAAGCAAGAAGGTAGGACGAAGAAAAAGAGGAAGAAAGGAAATAAGGAATCATCTGAGTTATGAACTTCATATCCTGATTATAATTGAATGTTGTTACTTAAGAGTTCCTACAATACATTACATTAAACAAAGATTAGACACATGGGAATGCGTCTTTTTCAAGGCGGAATGATAAATGCATAAGAAAACAGCAAAGTGTGCGACGCATTATAATATTGCAGACACAATGATTAAGAGACACATAACTCAGTATGAAGCCATCTATCGACTTTGAATGTGCTACATTGGAAATTCAAAGCATACAGCATCACAACATGGCAATGACAGCGCCGACTATGGCAAGCCATTTGAGTATTTATTCCATATCCTTGATCTCAGGCTGCAGCTGCCTACACTAGTTGGCTCTTTGATTTCACTTGTTGGATGTCAAACTAGTTAGGCACTCTGCTTTACTAGTTAAATAAAACATTACACTAGTCACTCTTTTTCAGCAACTAGTGGCACTTTTGTCCAATATGTTACCTATGGCAAGCCATTTGAGTATTTATTCCATATCCTTGATATCAGACGGCAGCTGTCTATACTAGTTGGGACTTTGATTTCACTTGTTAGATATATGGTCAAACTAGTTTGGCACTCTGCTTTACTAGTTAAATAAAACATAAACATTATACTAGTCACTCTTTTTCAGCAACTAGTGGCACTTTTATCCGACTAGTTACCACATAAGCCTTACTAGTGACACCAGGAGCAGCACTTCTAGCACCAAAGTCCCAACTTGTAAGCTTTTTGATGAAATATTGACCCTTTGACCGTACTAGTGACGCTAAAAGTCTTACAAGTTAACTAGTGTGCTGCAAAAGCTCTGGCATGTTAACTAGTTACAAAAAAGAAGCAGAACTAGTTAACTAGTGGCATACCTTTTTCTGCACTAGTTAACGTAGCACCCAGAATCACTCACTAGTTAACTAGTAAAGGCAAAAGGTTCATTAGTTAACTAGTTGACGCCTCTTTGGACCTTACTAGTTAACTAGTGGGGCTCAAAATGTTTACATGTTAACTAGTGAACCCTTTGCCATTTACTAGTTAACTAGTGAGATAAATTGAAATTCAACTAGTGAACTAGTGAGGCTTAAAATGTTCACTAGTAGTACTAGTGGGTCCCAAATGTGCACTAGTCACACTAGTTGCACATAATGCTAATGAGGAGGAGGGGAAAGAACGCATCGAGGTCTCCTATTGGCCCTAAGCTATAGAGCGCTACCCAACCCAAGTTGTTTCTTTAAGAGCTTAAATACAGTGTTTTTAAATACAGTCATATGACCATATTTACAAAAATATAAAACAAAAGTATTGTTGTAATTATGATCATATGACTGTATATCAAATTAGGTAAGAACATTGAAGACTTTGTTAAAATTAGAAATGTGCTTTAGGACTGCAGACAGAAATATAGATCCTCTTTAAAACATTTTATTAGCTGCAATTTGAAAGGTGCTTGGATTAGAATAGCACTGTAATAACAGAGGGACATTAGTGATGGATAGAAAGAGAGGAAGTAACCCTCTTCGGATCACAGCTTTCCTCAGAGGCTGAGAAATCGCCATGACTTCCATAAATATTAGGAGGTAAATATGGAGAGGTTGTTTATCTTCATATGGATCTATCGTTACCCTGATTTTAAGATCTGTCCAGTGTTTCAGCTTTATTCATTTTATGAGCACCGCTGATAAAATGTCCCACGATCATATCCGCTACTTTTGTGTCTCGAGTGCCGGTGAGGCACGGGTGAGGGTGGGTGTTACGTGGGGTGTTACGCTTCCGTGACAATGCCATCAATTGGGTTCTTGGCTCAGATAGAAAATGTTTTACAATATCCATACATAGCTGAGTTGCTTGCTGCTACGCTAATGCTCTGTATGTTAATGTGAGAACATTAATATTTTTCAAGTATTCTAAGACTAATTAAAATGATGATATATTTTAGTGTTTCATTTGTTACCTAGAATAAATTATACATGTGAGTTCCTGTTCATTTGTTCTCTTAATATACCTTAACCGCCTTGCCATTTTTTTCAATTGAATTTCCTTTTAATTCCAGTCTTTTTCAGTCTGTGCAAGCTTTACAAAATGTAGTGTTTACAAAAAAGTTATGCATGAATTGTCTTGTCAAATTATACAGATTAGTCTGTTTATATCTTAGTGAGGACATTTTCCCAGTCTAGTGCTACCATATCGGAAAATGTTACGAGTTATATATTTTGGGGTAAATCTAACCTATGAATTAAAAATTGTTAACCGGGACTTTTGCTCTTTGATGTATTGTAATTTGATAAACTGGTTATATGTGATCAAACTGTCCACTGTTTGGTCATTTACCAGAGAAGAAAAGTTTCAATTTCCAACAGACTGTAGTACTCAATCTATAAGACCGGCTAACCATGAGGAATTCCCTGTCAGGAGGATCTAACTTTCTTACTGAGTTACTCAGTGTACCAACCCTGTAGATTTATCCCGGTGAATAATGTAATAGAGACAGTGTCACTTATCTCTGTCAAACCAACCCCGGTCTTATGTCACTGTAGATCTGGGTCACTACCCCCAAGTGTTTCCTACTGCTTTCATTAAACATTCAATGTGTCTAAGTATATTTCTATGTATCTGCCTCTTGAAGACACAGATGAGTTTCATTTGGAGAGGAAATTAGATACAAGTCAATTAATATATCTCCTTCCCCTTTTTGTTTTAAGAGGGTTTTTACAAGGGGTTGCTTCAGTCTATTAGACCTACAAATGTATCCAACGTCAAACATGCTGCAAAGTTGTTGTCAGTTGTTTGTTATAAACAAGTTCAAATGTGAAGCTTTACCATGAAAATGAAACAGTGGAGCAGTTGTGTAAATAGCGAGAAGAAGAAAATAGTAGTGATAGAATTTAAGCAAAAGGATAGGAATTGGTAACTCACCGAGGTTACATATTGTATGTCCCGGCACAGTTTTGTCTCCCTTGGAAAGTCAGCAAGATCCAGGAAGTTGTCCACCACCACTTGGCCAATCAAGTCATGGCGAGAGAACCTGTCAAAGTCGTAGACGCTGAAGTGCAACTTACGACTCGACAGCTCGGCGTACGCCACCGGAAAGAGAAACACCTCATCGAACACTGGGTTGAGTGTCTTGCGGTGCACCTTAGTCTGGTGCTTGGTTTTGCGGTCAGGCAGCAGGTAGATCTTGACATAAGGGTCAGATGTCCCTGAGAAGTCTTTAGCAGGAAGATCATGGGCCTTGTGGATCTTCACAATCAGCTGCTCCAGGTCAAAGTCAAACTTCAGGACGAACAGAAGACGCCCGCAGCTGTCAGTGGGACGACCATCTTCTGCGTCCACCGACCGCTGCTTGTAGAGTTCTGGTTTGATTCGGCCCAAACCAGACAGTGACTCTTGGCGCTGGAACTGAGCAGGGTTAAAGTCCGGATTGGACAAATTCATCTGACGACGGATGGAGTTGTGCCTGTAACAAAGTGTACAATTTGACATATAAGAACATTCAAACCATTTCAATTGACTAATCAGTATTGAGTCTTTGATGCTTTAAGGCAACAGCTGAATTCACGGTATCTCTGAACCCAGAGGTCTAGGTTTATGTGACTGTGTAACTGTTTGTATCTGTGTTCAATCTGTCAACTAAAAAAGTTGGACAGCAGCTTTGGGGATTGATTGGTACTGACCGTACAGATGAAGTAGGCTCAGTAATCTGTCTCTGCACCCGGTCCCTGGCCAGAGTGTGGACCTGGTTTTTCTCCAGCTTGGCCTGAGTCTCCAATGGTATGTCAGGCGACGTGTGGCTTATTTTCAGGCCAGACTCCGGGACAACCACACTGGAGGGGGGCCCCAAAGACTCCTTCATACAGCCATCTTCGCTGTACTCCCTTTCGTCCCCGTCCACCTGTACAGCAGACAAATGTGTTTACAGTGTGAATCCCATTAAAGGAATTTCAATAAGGGACAGAGAAAGTAGGATAGGTGCCTCGAGGAGTTGTACAAACTAAACGTTTCTTTCAATTAAACCTTTACACTCAAAATGGCAAGTGAACCTTAATTCCCATTTATCACAAAGACAATAGAATATCACTATGAATTGGCAGTCTAGACCTGGATCAAGTGACAGTTCTATCCAGATGTGTGACACATATTTGATCAATTGATTAAAATAGTCTTAACCCTAGTCTTCACAAAGTGATTATTTTCAAAGGGTCACGGTTATAGAATACGAGTGCAACATATCTCATGAATGCAGCAAAGGGTTCACTCACTTGAACCTCATGACCTAGCACCTGTACATGTGCATTGGAATGGCACTAACTTAATGTCACGGTTTTAAGTTTGTGTGTCTGGTAGTGGGTGTTTTTCTGTTCTCCTTGTCATGTTTTCCTCCCTGTATATTGTCTGGGCTTTTTGTTACGATTATTGTGTTATGTCACGTTTTGTATGTCTTGTTTTGGGTGTTTTGCTGTTCTCCCTGTCATGTTTTCCTCTTGGTATATTGTCTGGTCCTTTTCCCTGTGTTTTTCCTCCTGTCGTTAGTTTCCCTAGTGTGTCTTGTTGTCTGATTGTGTTCACCTGTGGCCCTTGTGTTTCTCCTCCCCTGCCCGGCTGTTTCTCGTCTTGTGATTACCCCTCCCTGTATTTAGTCTTGTCTCTCCCTGTGTTCAGTGTTGGTTCGTCTTTTGTTGGTGACTGAGTTCACCGGGGAGTGTTCTGTTTTGTCCGAGTTTTATTCATATCCTTGAAATAAAGGTGTTATCAGTTTATTCTGCATTTGGGTCCTGCCTGCTTCACTCTACCGTAACAGAACCAACCAACCAAGAATGGACCCAGCGGACAGTTTGTACGAGGTGGAGTACAATTTGACATGTTTGAGGAATGACTTTAAATATGCCTCCAGTAGTGAAGAGAGGCAGTCCGTTTTTTCTGCGGCACGCCAGGAGGTAACCTCAAGGCCCTGGTTGGTCACCCGAGTGGGTGGAGGACTCTTTTGGCAGCTTTGAGGTCAAACCTGATTCCCGGCCTGCTAGCCCCGGGCATGCTAGCTCCATGTCTCCCAATTCCCAACCTGGCACCATACGCCTTGGTGGGTTCCGCCTGAAGTCAACCCGTGCTTCTGCCCCAGTTCCTGCTCCTGTCCAGGAGTTGTATTCCGGAACTCGTCTGGCTTTTGGAGGTCCACGGAGCCTCCAAACGGCTCCTAAGAGCAAGGCCAGGTTAGCAGCACGAGCCCAAAAGGCCATGGTTACAGACCCAGTTCTGGCCCCAGCAGCCATGGTCCTTGCTCCAGAACCGTTCCCGGCAGCCATGGATTCGGCTCCAGAGCCGGCCCATACAGCCATGTTTCCGGCTCCAAAACCGGACCTTACAGCCATGATTCTGGCTTCAATTCCGGCTCCAGAGCCGGCCCATTCAGCCATGTTTCCGGCTCCAGAACCGGACCTTACAGCCATGTTTCCGGCTCCAGAACCGGACCTTACAGCCATGTTTCCGGCTCCAGAACCGGACCTTACAGCCATGTTTCCGGCTTCAGAACCGGACCTTACAGCCATGATTCTGGCTTCAATTCCGGCTCCAGAGCTGGCCCATTCAGCCATGGTTCCAGACCCAGCTCTTGCCCCAGCTGCCATAGTCCCATCTCAAGTCCCTTCTCTAGTCCCTTCTCTGGTCCCTACTCAATTCCTTTCTCAAGTCCTTTCTCAAGTCTCTCCTCTAGTCCCTCCTCTAGTCCCTCCTTTAGTCTCTCCTCTAGTCCCCTCTCGAGTCCCCTCTCTAGTTCCCCTCTCTAGTCTCCTCTCGAGTCTCCTCTCGAGTCCCCTCTCGAGTTCCCCCTTGGTTCCCCTCTCGAGTCTCCTCTCGAGTCTCCTCTCGAGTCCCCTCTCGAGTCACGTCTCAAGTCCCTACCCAATGTCCTGGTCCGTTGGAGGTTCCGCTGGGGGTCCTGCCAACTCCATGTCCTGTCCCGTTGGAGGTCCCGCCGACTACTCTCCTGCCGGGGGTCCTGCCAACCCTTTGTCCTGTGCCGTTGGAGGCCCCGCCGACTACTCTCCTGCCGGGGGTCCTGCCAGCTCCTTGTCCTGTCTCGTTGGAGGTCCCGCCGACTACTCTCCTGCCGGGGTCCTGCCAACCCTTTGTCCTGTGCCGTTGGAGGCTCCGCCGACTACTCTCCTGCCAGGGGTCCTGCCAACCCTTTGTCCTGTCTCGTTGGAGGTCCCGCCGTCTACTCTCCTGCCGGGGGTCCTGCCAATCCTATGTCCTGTGCCGTTGGAGGCCCCGCCGACTACTCTCCTGCCGGGGGTCCTGCCAACCCTATGTCCTGTCCCGTTGGAGGTCCCGCCGACTGCTCTCCTGCCGGGGGTCCTGCCAATCCCGTGTCCTGGTCCTCTTCCGTGGGGGATCCTGCCGAGGCCTGTCCCACCAGCTCCGACACCGGGTCCTGCCCGGCCTCCGGCGCTGTCCCGTCAGCGCCTTCCTGCCCGGCCTCCGGAGCTGTCTGGTCTTCGCCCTCGAGCCCGGCCCTCTGAGAGCCGCAGTCTTCACCCTCGATCCCGGCCCCCTGAGAACCACGGCCTTCGCCCTCGAGCCCGGCCCCCTGACTTTCCCAGCCGCGGCCCTCGCCCTCATGCTCGGCCCCCTGAGTTCGCCCGCGGTGGCCTTCGCCCCTCCATAACCCCCACCTTGGACTCTGTCTTGCCCCCGGGCCGTCCGCCCAAGTCCCCCTTCTCGGCTTCTGCCTTGCCCCCGGGCCGTCCGCCCGAGATCCCTTCCGGGTCCTCCGCGGTGCTCTTGGGTTGTCAGCCCAGACCCGTCCTCCGGACCCCCTCCACCCATCCTGGTGGCCCTAGTTTTGTTAATTCCTGATTGTTTTCACCTGTGACCCCTTCTGTGTCTCCTGTGTTAATCAGCGTCAGTCCCGACCCTGATTATTCCCACCTGTGTCTTGTTACCCTGTGTTTAAATTCCCCTGTCTCCCAGTGTTCAGTGTCAGTTCGTTTTTGTCTCTTGTCATGTTCAGGTCTATGCTCCTTGTGCTCTTGAAAAGTTTGATTCCTCACTACGTGAGCGCTTTCATTTTTTATTCTCTATTTTTGTCATCTCGGCTAGAGATTTGATAGTTACCTTTTTTGTTGTTCAATGCTGTATTTGGAAAATAAAGTATCTTACAAATACTTTACCTCTGTCTCCCGGGTCGTGCAATTGGGTCCTACATCCTAAGTGTCTGAGTTCGTAACAGAACAAACTGACCATTATGGACCCAGCAGACCTTTTAATGCTACAGGCGGAACGTCTTGAGTACTCTCTGGAGTCCCTTTTGTATTCGTGGGATGGGCGGGGTAGAGAGGCTGCGTTGAAGGAGGCACGTCAGGAGGTTGCTCGCAAGCCTTGGCTCTGGAGCTTGTTGCCCGAGAGGCTCAAGGATTTTACAAGTAGCCCTGAGTGCCAGCCTCAAGCCTCAAACCCCTTCTTGGGATCCTGCCTTGCCTTAGGAGGTCCACGGAGCCTCCAAAAGGTCTCTAGGAGACACAAGGCCAGGATTCCAGCCATGGCCCCAGCAGTCATTGTTCCGGCTCCAGAACCGGCCCACAAGGTCATGGATCCGTGCACCAGTACCGGCCCACGCTGCTTTGCTTCCTTGCTCCATTTCCTGGCTTACACAGCCAGGGTCCAGGCTTCTGCTCCGTGCCCAACAGCCATGGTTCCGGCTCCAGTGCCGGCCCCAGCAGCCATGGTCCCTGCTTCAGTACCGGTCCACACAGCCATGGTTCCGGCTCCAGTGCCGGCCCCAGCAGCCATGGTCCCTGCTCCAGAACCGGCCCACACAGCCATGTTTCCGGTTCAAGAACCGGCCCATACAGCCATGATCCAGGCTTCAGTCCCGGTTCCCACAGCCATGGTCCCTGATCCAGAACCGGACCTTACAGCCATGTTTTCGGCTTCAAAACTGGCCCACACAGCCATGATCCAGGTTTCAGTTCTGGTTCCCACAGCCATGGTTCCGGCTCCAGAACCGGCCCATGCAGCTATGGTCCCTGCTCCAGAAGCGGCCCGTTCCAGCCATGGTTCCGGCTCAAGTACCCGGCCCAGCAGCCATGGTCCCGACTCCGGCTCCTCGTCCCCTGTTGACTCTTCGGCCGACGCCAGCTCCCCGTGTCCTGTCAACGTACCGGCGGACTCCAGCACCTCGTCTCCTGTTGGCTCTCCAGCCGACGCCAGCTCCCCGAGTCCTGTCGGCGTACCGGCCGACTCCAGCACCTCGTCTCCTGTCGACGTACCGGCCGACGCCAGTTCCCCGTGTCCTGTCGGCGTACCGACCGTTTCAAGTCTCCTCTCAAGTCCCCTCTCGAGTCTCCTCTCAAGTCACCCCTCCAGTTCCCTCGCAAGTTCCCTCTCAAGTCTCCTCTCGAGTCCCCTCTCGAGTTCCCTCTCGAGTCCCCGCTCACTAAGTGAGCGCTTTCATTTTTTGTTCTCTATTTTTGTCATCTCGGATAGAGATTTGATAGTTACCTTTTTTGTTGTTCAATGCTGGAAAATAAAGTATCTTACAAATACTTTACCTCTGTCTCCCGTGTCGTGCAATTGGGTCCTACTGTACATCCTAAGTGTCTGAGTTCGTAACACTGTTTTTTACTCAAAAGGATACACTTTAAAAAAATGTATTCAGAGATTCTCAATGTCTTTGTCTTGTTTGCTTTTTGTTTAATTTTAGGCGTTAACTTTATTGCACTAGGACACATTTTATTTTTGGTAACAATATGTATTTGTCTTACATTGTTAAATGCCTTTGTTGATACATACTACTTAACCATAAAATGTACAGTAAATATGGTTGAAATTATTTGAAAGTGTATGATGTTTTTGATTTGATATGTAGGTGTAGATAGGACACAATAAATCATACATTCTTACTCTAACCCTAAGCCCAGCCCTATCACTTGGTAATAAAGTGAATTGACATTGTGGTAATGGCTTAATGTAGGTATGTCCTATTTAAGGTAATTATGCTTCATGTCAACAGGGAAAAGTTGGTGCGTGTTTATATATATAGTACAAATATTGAACCTGATAAACACTTTTTCATTGTGCTTATTGAGTTAAAACGTGTCTCAAAGTCTGTGCGTCCATCAAATAGGCTACAATGAAAGTTTGCAGGCACAGTTACTTGGACAGCCCCCCTTTTAGGCTCTTGATTGGCTACTCAGCCAAATATCTGATTCTGTGTTTTATTTACTTTTGTTAGATAAAGGCGCGATCAACAGCAAGCTGGTGTTTAATTTGTGTGTATTGTATGGCTGTGACTGTGCCAACTAGAGATTTCAAGGATTATATCTTTCAGCAGTTTGAGTCATAAAGGAAACTTAATGTATCTCACTTTACCAACATTTTCACTTTTGAATGTGAGACTCTCCTCCTTACCTCTGTGAGGACAGGCTGTTGGTCTCCCCCAAGGAAGTGGGCCCCCTTGAGGACATCTGGGAGGAAGCGGCCGCTCAGTGGTACCCAGCATATCTTCCATGAGACAAAGAGGGAGACGCTGAAGAGAGCCAGACCACAGGTGGTCACCAGCAGGGACAACAGGCTCACCGATACATCTAGATAAAAGAGAGAGGGGGGGCTCAGTGAACAGTGAACACAGCTTTGCCAGTGATGAATGCTGGCCCAGACAAACCCATCTCCCAAAAGGCAGCCTGTGTTTATTCAGAATGCTAGATGAGAAGGAGAAACTATTTAATCTTCACTGTAGGCAAAAATACAAGCAAATTCGATTTGATTCATTTCCTGCATGTTGCCCGGTACACATTATATAAACTGCATAATATCAAAACCCAACTTTTAAAACCTAAATAAATTATGTATAAGTAGGGACCTTACATAATAGTCTTACACTGTCTCACCTTGTCTACATTCCCATGCCTCTTCCTGCACCTTGCCCTAACTCTAAAACGTTGCTTTATTTTACAAACAAGATGGATTGCTGCAATGTATTTTACTGTATTGCACATGGTTAAGTGGTTTTACATGCTAAAAGGCATAGGTGGCGGGTGAGACTCAGGATAGGGAAGTCTTGTACTTGACCAACTACCAGACATGTATTATACACCACATAAGTTGTTATGTTTAGAGAAGCAATAAGCTTTTTTGCCCCTACTGACCAACAGTAATGCACAGCACAGGAGCTAATTAATTTTAACACAACAAACATCAACATTAGCTTACTAGGTTACACTAAAAACTAGAATCAACTATGTCGTGCTAATATGCTAACGTGAAATACGGGTTATTACAGGTTTAGCAGCAGTATACAACAAAGCAAACACACACATTAAGTGAATATATATGTAAATGACCCAATTTGTGTTCTTTGAACCTGAAAAGGAGATTGCATTGTTTTTGTTACTTTCATTGCAATTGTGTACATGTCTGAAGCGTAATTTAGCTTAACTTCCTGTTTTATTTAGACATGCATTCATTTTGAGTTTTCAATAAATTGGAAATCATCAGTCAAGTGTACCACCTAGGAGGGATATGCTACAGCAGGCCTATTCAACTAGCGGCCCACGGGCCGAATCAGGCCCTTCAGAACTTTTTTCTGGCCCACAAGAGGTTACCTGCAAATCGAAATGGCATATGTGTAATAGCATAAATAAAACTAGTGTCTGATCACACTAAATCCGACGATGCGGCGAAAACTCTGGTTTTTCCATTCATTTGAATGATTTTGAATCCATTATTTTGCCTGCCGCGCTCTGCTCATTAAAAAAAAAAACGCACTGTGTCCTCACTTGTCATTGGCTCAGTCAAACTCACGTTACACACTAGGTTCGCGGGCCACGGAGAAAGTGCTTTAGTTAACAACAGCTTCAAGATGTCTCTCTCCAAGCCCAAGAAACGTAAAGTTGATTCGGAAAATCGCCAATTCCAGAATGAATGGACTGACAAATATGTATTTACTTTGCCAGCCGCAACAAGTAATAAACCGGTGTGTTTATTGTGCAACGAAAGTAAATCCGTGATGAAAGAATACAACGTAAAGCGACACTACAACTCAAATCACGGCTCGTTTTCTGCCAGTTTTCCCGTGGGCTCAGAGGAACGGAGAAGGAAAGTACAGGGACTGCTAGCATCATTTGAACGGAGTCAAGTGGCCAACAATGAGGAAGGTGGCCTTGCTTATACTGACAATGTTTGGATCTACCTATACTTGTGAGTCTAGCTTTTCTCATATGAATGCCATCAAAACAAGGGCACGTTGCTCCATGACCAATGAGAAGTTGCATGAGTGTCTCAGGATTGCACTTATGAGCCAAACTATGCTGAAATAGCTAAATCAAGGCAGTGTAATTTCTCTCACTGACTCAAACAGGCTAAACATGACAGAAGTCTGATTCATGGTATGTATGCAGATCTGTTTTTATGGTCATTCATTTTATGGTCATTCAAACAAGCCTACTTACTGTTTCGAAAATTGTAAAAATGTTTCCAAGATATGAATGTTATTGTGAGTCTGATGGCTATTGTTTTACTATGTTCTATTTGCATTTAGTATTACATTTTATGGACTTGTGTTGTCTTCAATGCACCTTATGTATGCTTGGAAGTGTTGAGGATATTATGCACAGGGCTACTTACTGTTAATGTGATGAATACTGTTTTATTATATTCATCTTGTTTTGTACATTAGTGGACATGGAACTGTTGGGGGAAAAAACTCATGTCTCCTTAGTTTTAAAGATGCAACATTTTGCACTTTTGTGTCAAGCCTTGTAACCGAAGCTTTCCTACTTTTTTATGGACTGGTTGCTTTCTGTAATGATTTATGTTGATACAATTAAAGTAAAAAAAAAAGGGATGCACTTGACAGTTCATTTAATGTATTAGTATCTATTAACACTACTGTAAGCAAGAGTTATTTGTAGTGGTTCCTTGACAAAGTATTGTGTGGCCCACAAACCCCCAGTGATTTTCCTATTTGGCCCACTTGCTAATGAAGTTGAATAGCCCTGTGCTACAGTATGTGTACACATGAAATCCATAGTACACTAGATGTATAACATAAAGTGCGATCTAAATCATAGTCACCACAGAAAGTATCTGTGCATTTACTACATACTGTTGCTGTGAGCTAAAACAATGCTAACGAAGAGCAACAAAACAGAGGAAACATAGCATACATAACTCCTGCTAGCTTAGCCTGAGGCACACGACACATGGCCTACGTAGAACTAGAAGCACTAATTGACAATATTTGATGCAGCTTGACATGAAGTGTTTCAGTTTCGACTATAAGACATTTAGCGAACATCAGTAAATTGTGTTGTTGTTGATAGTCTGTTTATGTAGGCCAAGTGCCCAATAGTGTATTGACCAAAGATTTAAAAATCACCTATTGTGCAAAATCCACTTTTTCATGTCTATTATACATAAATATCTGTCCCCTCTGTGTTGAGAGATTCTTAAAGGTTCAAGAAAAAATTATCTTTCTTTTTATCCTGATCCATTTATATAAAAACCTGTCTGAACAGATGTTGGCCACTTCATGATGTCACAATGTTTTTTTGGCTTTTGCAACCAGTAAGCAACCAAGGTAACACCCGCCCAACTTATCACCTGAATCTCCTCCTATAGCACCAATAGGCGCTTTCACACCAAGTACTTTTCCCAGGAATAGTTCCCTGGAACTTTTATTTCCTGAAACTATCTAGTAAATCGCGTGCACGCCGGAATAAGTCCCTGAGGGAGCCGCTGACGTCACTTCTTCTTCTGCTTTGGGTTTACTGGCAGGCCGCAAACAACTTCACGGCGTATACTGCCACCCGGAGTCCCCGGCCGGAAGTCTTCTACTGAAGCCTTCCGAGTAAATCGCCAGAAGCGCTGACACCTCCTCCTCACTCCACCGCTCCCATGTTTTCTTTTGTTATGCCATAAGTTAGTCTCTCTCCGTTGGTGCGCTGGGCTAATGCTAATGCTAATAATGCTGATGCGAGCAAAGAAAACGGCAGCTTCACAAAAACTTTTCAGAGTTTTACAGGGCATGGTTTGCAATTCACCCAGCCAATCAGAAATTGGAACCTTTTTCTCCCCAGGAAAGTCCCTGCTCTCTAGCAGGGACTAAAAAGGGGTGAAAAGGTTAGCGCAAAAAAAGTTATAGTTCCAGATATTTTTTGGTGTGAACGCAAAATCCCAGGAACTATCGGAACTATTCCTGGGAAAAGTACTCCGGTGTGAAAGCGCCTATTTTGTTTTATTAAACCAGACACTCTGCAGAGGGGCGTGGCCAGCAGCAGCTCATTTGCATTTAAAGCTAAAGACACAGAATCAGCACTTTTGAAACAGGGCTAACACAGAGCCCTGCTGAAAAAACCAGCATATACCAGTTTAAGATGGTTGCTGGTTTTAGCTGGTTTTAGCTGGTGTAAGGCTGGTTTAGTTGTTTTTTGCTGGTTCAAGACCAGCATGGTCAGCTAAACCAGCATAGGCCAGCATGGATGTCATGCTGGTCTATGCTGGTTTTAGCTGGTAATTAAGCTGGTCTATGCTGGTGAAGCTGGTATTTATGCTGGTCTAACAGCAGTCTTGCTGGTGAAACTGAGACAGACACAAACAGACAGAGAGGGCGGGACACGGGGGAACGGCGACACAGCAGTGGTTGAAAGAAAGCGGTATGTTTTGACTGCCACTAACGGTCGGGAAGTGAAGATCAGTTGAGCGTTTCTGTGACTCCGCCCAGCGGCTGCTCTTCTGGGAGGCACCTTTCAGCTCTGTCTACTGGGAAACGCGCTAAAAGTCCTTCTGGAGGGAAGCAACACTACACAATTTCACCAAGTCTGAGAGTAAAAGCTTTCTCGAAGGTTCGTTTTGCTTTCTTACAACGTTACGTTAATGTTAACTTAAAGGGATAGTGGAAATCCGCGAATTTTGGGTTTAACTTATGTATTTTTATTAGGGCCGGGACTTTAACGCGTTAATTAAGATTAATTAATTACACAAAAATTAACGCGTTAAAAAAATTAACGCATTTTAATCGCACTTATTTTTGCACCGCGGAACGTTTCTCACTGGATGAGTTTCAGGCGTACCGATTATACTGGAGCACCAACTAACGTTCATGACTTCAGACAACAACAAACCACAGTGAACAACAGTGGGAAATGTTGTTTTAAAAAACGGACGGATGGAAGCGTCGATAAGAGCACGGTTGTGTGCAAATTATGCAAAAAGGAATTCGCATATCACCGCAGCACATCAAGCCTCAAGTATCACCTCAATGCAAAACATATAGCAGCTAGCGTGGACGTTAGCCTCTTTTATCGCGTTCACACCAAAAAGAGCCGGTACTAAAATTAGTTCATGAGAACCTTTTTACCCCCAGGAAAGTCCCTGCTAGAGAGCAGAGAGCTGCTAGAGAGCAGGGACTTTCGTGCGGCTCTCTTGTGAGAAAAGAGCTATATTTCTGATTGGCTGGGCGGATTGCAAACCACGCCCCGTAAAACTCCCAAAAAGTGTTGTGAAGCCGCCATTTTATTATCCTCGCATTAGCATTATTAGCATTAGCCCAGCGCAGAAACGCAGAGAGACTAACTTATGGCAACAC